CCGCTACCTCGAGCACTCGATATCCCTTGACCAATAGGTCATTTTGGACCACGGCCATTTGGCATTCATTTTGTGATATAATTGCCATAAATAATTGTTGATTTTTTTGTTTTTTATATACAGTAAAATTCCTATTAAACGCCCCCGGAGGCTAAACATTTTCCAAAAGGGGGGCTATTATTACAACACAGTAATAATACTGTAAATACATTAATTTTAGTGTTAGCAAGTGTTGGTAATATCATTAAAAAGTGTTACGGTTTTAAAGTTCTTTTTATTCATATTTCATTTTGTGTTTACTATAAAATAAAATGAATTCTGAATGATTGAATAAAATGATGGCTTTAATTATGAGTTCAGCACTGATCATCAGATGAGTAGATTGTTTTCCTTATCAAGAAGCCTGGGGGGCCTTTTACGGTATTATTTGTTTTTAATTTTGAAAAGACCGGTACTTTTTGAATCAGTATTTACCGGTAAAATATAAAACTGTTTTCGGTACGGTATCAAATTGTTAATTTTTTAGCTCGACTATACGAAGTATATGGAGAGCTGTCCTACTCGCCCCGGCGTCCGCGTCCAGATTTTAGATTAAAGTTTTGGTGCAGTAAAATATTTTTCACTATAACTTTGTCATTTCTTAAGGTATCAACTTCAAACTTCAAATATATGTTCCTTATCATCAACCACATCTTATGTGACAAGGTTCATAACTCTAGCACCAATATTTTCAGATTTATCTCCCCTTGAACTTAGAATTTTCCTTAAAAAATACTATTTTTTACTGTTACTTCTTTATTTCTTAAGGGATCAACCTCATACTTCAAATATATGTACCTTATCATCATCCCCATCTTATGTTACAAGGTTCATAACTCTAGCACCAATATTTTCAGATTTATCTCCCCTTGAACTTAGAATTTTCCTTAAAAAATACTATTTTTTACTGTTACTTCTTTATTTCTTAAGGGATCAACCTCATACTTCAAATATATGTACCTTATCATCATCCCCATCTTATGTGACAAGGTTCATAACTCTAGCACCAATATTTTCAGATTTATCTCCCTTTGAACTTAGAATTTTCCATAAAAAATATTATTTTTTACTGTTACTTATTTATTTCTAAAGGGATCAACTTCATACTTCAAATATATTTACATTATCATCATCCACATCTTATGTGACAAGGTTCATAACTCTAGCACCAATATTGCAAGAATTATCTCCCCATAAACTTAGATTTTTTTACTAGAAAAATGTTATTTTTTATTATAACTTTTTATACCCCCAAAAACGAAGTTTGGGGGGGTATATAGGAGTCACCCTGTGGTCGGTCGGTCGGTCGGTTGGTCGGTCGGGCGGTCGGTCGGTCGGTCGGTCCAGACGTCCGTTGCATTTTCCTTGTCCGGAGCATAACTTTAAGACTAATGCTTGGAATTCAATATAACAACACACAATGGTCAAGCACATTGAGAGGAAGTGCAGTGCACAAGAACCATAACTCTACCTTGATTAATTACAGAGTTATTGCCCTTTGTTACTTTTCCTTGTCCGGGGCATAACTTGAAAACTACTGGTTGGAATTCAAAACAACTTCACACAATTGTCAAACACAATAAGGGGAAGTGCAGTGCACAAGAACCATAACTCTATCTAAAGTAATTACAGAGTTATTTCCCTTTGTTGCTTTTCCATTGCTTTTTTTTTGTCTGTTGCATTTACCTTGTCCGGAGCATAACTTGAAGACTAATGGTTGGAATTCAATATAACTACATACAATGGTCAAGCACATTGAGAGGAAGTGCAGTGCACAAGAAGCATAACTCTATCTTGACTAATTACAGAGTTATTTCCCTTTGTTACTTTTCCTTGTCCGGGGCATAACTTGAAAACTACTGGTTGGAATTCAAAACAATTTCACACAATTGTCAAACACAATAAGGGGAAGTGCAGTGCACAAGAACCATAACTCTATTTAAAGTAATTACAGAGTTATTGCCCTTTGTTACTTTTCCATTGCTTTTTTTTGTCCGGACCATAACTTGAAGACTAATAGTTGGAATTCAATATAACTACATACAATGGTCAAGCACATTGAGAGGAAGTGCAGTGCACAAGAACCATAACTCCATCTTGATTAATTACAGAGTTATTGCCCTTTGTTACTTTTCCTTGTCCGGGGCATAACTTGAAAACTACTGGTTGGAATTCAAAACAACTTCATACAATTGTCAAACACAATAAGGGGAAGTGCAGTGCACAAGAACCATAACTCCATCTTGACTAATTACAGAGTTATTGCCCTTTGTTACTTTTCCATTGCTTTTTTGTCCGGAGCATAACTTGAAGACTAATGGTTGGAATTCAATATAACTTAATACAATGGTCAAGCACATTGAGAGGAAGTGCAGTGCACAAGAACCATAACTCTACCTTGATTAATTACAGAGTTATTGCCCTTTGTTACTTTTCCTTGTCCGGGGCATAACTTGAAAACTACTGGTTGGAATTCAAAACAACTTCATACAATTGTCAAACACAATAAGGGGAAGTGCAGTGCACAAGAACCATAACTCCATCTTGACTAATTACAGAGTTATTGCCCTTTGTTACTTTTCCATTGCTTTTTTGTCCGGAGCATAACTTGAAGACTAATGGTTGGAATTCAATATAACTTCATACAATGGACAAGCACATTGAGAGGAAGTGCAGTGCACAAGAACCATAACTCCATCTTGACTAATTACAGAGTTATTGCCCTTTGTTACTTTTCCTTGTCCAGAGCATAACTTGAAAACTACTGTTTGGAATTCAGTACAACTTCATACAGTCGTCAAGGACATTAAAAGGAAGTACAGTGCACAAGAGCCATAACTCCATTTTGACAAAATACAGAGTTACTGCCCTTCGATACTTTTCCTTGTCCTGAGCATAACTTAAAACATACTGGTTGGAATTCAAAACAACTTCATACAATGTTCAAGCACAATAAGAGGAAGTGCAGTGCACAAGAACTATAACTCTATCTTCAGTTTTTATAGAGTTTTTGCCCTTTGTTCCTTTTCTTTGTCTTTCTGGACTTATTACAGAGTAATTCAATTAAACTTCATCAATGGCCAACCACATTGAAAGGAAATGCAACATACAAGAACCACAACTATCTTTAATTGCCAACAACCATAACTCTATATTTCAATTCTTTTACAAGGTATTCTGTTACTAGTAACATCCTCATTTCCGAAGCAGTCTTGTGGGGGTATTAATCACATTTAGTGATAGTTCTAGTTTATTTTTAAAGGTATCTACCTCAAACTTCAAATACTTATTCCTTATCATCAATTACATTTTATGTGACAATGTGCATAACTCTTGAAGCAATATTTACAGATTTATCTCTCTTTGAACTTAGGATTTTCTTTAAGAAATATAATAACTTCTTTACTTTTTAAGGTATCTACTTCAAACTTCAAATATATATTTCTTATCATTACACAAATGTTGTGTGACAAGGTCCATAACTCTAGCATGACTATTTCTAGAATTAATCCCCTTGATCTTGGAATTTATGTTAACAAATGTTATTTTTAGTCCCCTACCGGTTTACCGGAGGGGACTTTAGGTTTACCCTCCGTCCGTCTGTCCGTCCGTCCGTCAGTCCGTCCGTCCACAAAACTGGATCCCGCGATAACGCAAAAAGTACTGAAAATATTTTAATGAAACTTGATATATGGATAGATGGCAGTATGGAGATTATGCACGTCTTTTTCTTTTCTTCCTATGTTGAAAATTCTGGTTGCTATGGCAACAAATAGACTGAAAATATGGCAAATTTTACACATAACCTGGATCCCGCGATAACGCAAAAAGTACTGAAAATATTTTTATGAAACTTGATATATGGATAGATGGCAGTATGGAGATTATGCACATCTTTTTCTTTTCTTCCTATGTTGAATATTCTGGTTGCTATGGCAACAAATAGACTGAAAATATGGCAAATTTTACACATAACCTGGATCCAGTGATAACACAAAAAGTACTGAAAATATGTTTATGAAACTTGACATATGGGTAGATGGCAGTATGGAAATTATGCACATCCTTTTCTTATCTTCCTATGTTGAAAATTCTGGTTGCTATGGCAACAAATAGACTGAATTTCAAGATTTCTGATTCTAGTTTTTAAGTTTTTTTCACTATAAATTCTTATTTCTTAATGTATTTTCTTCAAACTTTAAATATAAGTTGCTTGTCATCAACGCACATCATATGTGACAAGGTTTACAACTCTAGCACAAAGTTTATCAGAATTACCTCCCTTGAACTTAAAATTTTCATGAAAAAAACTCTTTTTTTTTTAATAACTTCTTTTTCTGAATGTATCTACTTCAAACTTCATATAAATGTTTCATATTATCACTCAACATTAAATTTTGTGAGTGTTCAATACTCTAGCAAGACTATTTCCAGAATTATGCCCCTTTTGAACTTAGACTTTTTTTTGAGAAATTGGTAATTTTTACTCCAACTTCTTCAATCATGATAGGATTTTAAAAATGTTATATTTTGATAACAGGGATGTTTAAAAAATAACTTTAGAGGGTCTTTCAGTCCGTCTGTCTGTACATAAAAACTGTTTCCTGTGATCACTTTCAAAGAACTTTTTCAACAAATTTACTTAAAATAGGAACCTAAGTGAATGGCCCTTCAAAATGTTGCTTGGGCTCTTACTGGTAGGGGACTTATGGATTGCTTGCAATACTATGATAATTGCTTGTTTTACTATAACTTAATACATAATTATACATAATTGATTTTTCTTTCATTGTTTTGTCCTCCTTACTGCGTCCAGTATTTTATTAGTCGAGCTTCGCTGTCTCCTGTGACAGCTCTTGTTATTTTTTGTAATATCATTACATATAAATTTACTGACTGTATATGTGTAATTAGGTCTCTGAAGAAAAGTGCTGTAAAATTGTGTGGTTAATTTTTTCCAGTAATCCTTGGGAACTAGTGGCAAGGGCTCAATGGAGAAAATATCCCAACAAATTTAACCAGGCAGTTGAAGGCATTGATGTTGTGGACAGAAGAATAGATGAAAAAGGTGTTTTGAAAACTCATCGTCTGTTAAGCACGAAATGGGGTATTCCAGGTTGGGCCACTAAGGTAATTAAACATAGAAAATAAAGCTTATTCATCTGACAGTAAGAAATTGCACATTTGGCAGGGTTGCAGTGTGCCATAAATGACTGATTTGCAGTATTTATCACCATATTTCTAAATTTAGGGCTATATGTGCATAATTTAACCATAATTTGGTATTTCGAGGATTTTAAGTTCCGTTTTCAATGTGTAAATTACTTTCTTTGATCAGAATATTTTATTGTTTAACACATTTTTAAAAAATTCATGAAATTTAGCCTGAATCTTGAGGCATGCTGCTACAAAGCACGTTATTATCTTCATAAAAAAACAACATACACAGATCATTTTGGAGATTTAAGTCGGAAACAGTGATATTTATTTACTACTTTGTACATCTTGGTGTTCAGCATAATTAATGCTATTGCTGGTAAAAAATGAAACTGTAAAGTAAGTTTGAAAAATTACATGCATTGTATTTTCTATTCAAGTGCAGGTTTACATATTTGAGCAGCGTCACGACAAAACCAACGTAATGCGTTTGCGACCAGCATGGATCCAGACCAGCCTGCTCATCCGCACAGTCTGATCAGGTTCCATGCCTGTTCGCTTACAAGCCCTCTTACAAGTAGAGAAACTGATAGCGAACAGCATGGATCCTGATCAGACTGCGCGGATGCGCAGGCTGGTCTGGATCCATGCTTGTCGCAAACCCACTATGTTGGTTTTGTCATGACGCGGCTCATTTATTGGTATTATTGAAACATGATGTGAAAATTTACAGGTTTTGGGTACGTCTGGCCTAGTATATGCCAGAGAGATCTCTGTTTTTGATCCTATTACACGATATATGCACATCAGATCGTGTAATGTGAGTAAAATGAGAAAATAGTATTTTACACACAGGCTGATAAGTGAAACAAGTCTGAAGAAAATTTTCAAGAATTGCATTTCATATTAGCTATTTTTATTCTTTTTCTTAGCCACTAAAATAAAGTTTGGATATTAAGAAGTTTGTATTAAAGATACATGTATAAACTAAAGTTAGTTGTGTTAAAATGATTTTGAGAAAGAAATTTATGTATGATTTTATTGTCATAATCATTTGAAATAAGTGGAATTCAGATAAAACAATATTTGTAAATTAGATATTAAAGTTAACTGATAAGTATTTACTTGCCAGTCTGTAGGTAGAATACAGTTCCTGGTGTACTTTCTAAGGCTTTCCTTGCATGAACTGGACTAAAGATGATCCATCCATCATTTTGTAGAAGCACATACATTGATGTATTTTATTTGCTTCTTTCTTACTGTGCCTTTACCACATGACTTTTGGCCCCACTGCTTTTCATTACAAGTTTTTGTTTAATCTGCATGTTAAGGAAATCTGTACAAATATTTCATTATTTTATATGGGATAAAGTGTAGAGCCCACACTGCTCATTCTAATCTAGAGTAATCCATTCATGTAGAATGTTTCTTGGGGAAAATGTAGTATATTTCTTTCAAAAGTGAAGCCACATGAGTTTCTGAATGTTCCAACACACCATCTCTGTTTCTTTTTACTGTTTGAAACTGTGAAATTATCAGTTTTATATTTCACTGATATAATTCTATAAACCACCAAAAAGCATGTAATGAAACTTTGTAAAGGTTAAGCTTATGATAAGGTATAACCCAGAACTTTTACCTGCTGACAAATTGTTCTAATATCTTAAAAGTAAGAAAAAAAAGGTTTGTTATTCAAAGCAGGACTAATGTAACAGTCAAAGAGTGAAAAATGAAATAGTAGACTAGTGTTACTGGAAAAAAAAAACATGTGAGCAGTTGATGGATGGATCACCATATCATTTCACCATAAATGTTATTTTGTTTTGTGTTTTTGCTCACCAGAGTAATGAGTAACTTACAAGCTTATAATTATAAACCTGTAAATGTTATAATGTCCTTTCTATTCCAACAATTTTAAGTTAGGTCAGCGTTTGACATGTGTACAGGGTGATGATGGGGAATTCCATAACCAAGAGGTTCATGTTGTTACTTCAAACTACTTGCCCATTCCTGTAAGTGTTGTATGTTCAAATCCTTGCAGGGTCTTTGAATATTTCAAAGCACGGAAGTTAATATCCGGCTAGCTTACAGAATGTCATTGATTTTATGCAAGTGCCTGCTTGAAATAATACAAGAAGGGACACCTCCACCAGGAAAGGCACCATACAACATTTAAGATTGTCATTGTTAATTAAAACTCAGCAAACAAAAGGCTGGTCAGCCTTTTCTATACTGCTAATCACACAGGTTTTCAAATTGTCGGTACTGAAATCCCTCCAAATAATATTGGACTGTCCCACATATAAAAAAAAACAACTTTATATTCAATGTAAATATTTGCCTGACATATTATTAAGAATGTTATTATATGATTTCGATCTAAATAGCTGTGATTTACTGTTACTCTTGTGAGCTATATTAAGTTGTATTCATTTTTAGCTCGACTATTCGAAGAATATGAGAGCTATTGTAGTCGCCCCGGCGTCGGCGTCGGCGTCGGCGTCAGCGTCCGCGTCGGCGTCTGCGTTGGTTAAAGTTTTTTGTAAAGTCAAATATCTCAATTATTACTAGAGATATTCAATTGAAACTTACAATACTTATTTATAGTAACAAGGCCCATCAGATTGACAAGTTGGATAACTCTGCCTACAATATTGACAGAATTATGCCCCTTTTTAACTTAGAAATTTTGGTTAAAGTTTTTGGTAAAGTCAAATATCTCAATTATTGCTTGAGATATTCAATTGAAACTTACAATACTTATTTATAGTAACAAGGTACATCAGATTGACAAGTTGGATAACTCTGCCTACAATATTAACAGAATTATGCCCCTTTGGAACTTAGAAATTTTGGTTAAAGTTTTTTTGTAAAGTCAAATATCTCAATTATTGCTTGAGATATTCAATTGAAATTTAAAATACTTTTTTATAGTAACAATGTACATCAGTTTGCAAAATTGCATAACTCTGCCTGCAATATTTGCAGAATTATTCACCCCTTTGAAACTTAGAAATTTTGGTTAAAGATTAAAGGTCTTCAAAGATATTTACTTGAAACTTTACACATGCACTTAGGGTCATAATTGGAGGGTCATAATTGTATGTCACTGACCAAGTTCCATAACTCTATCTTGCATTAAGGCTGATTCATATCCCCTTTTCTACTTAGTCTCTTGGTTAATGTTTACATGCAAGTTTTACATATCTCAATAACTATTAAAGATATTTATTAAAAACTTCACATATGCATTTAGGGTCATAATTGTAGGTCACTGACAAAGGTCAATAATTCTATCTTGCATTTAGGCTGATTTTTCTCCCCTTTTTCAACTTAGAAATTCATGGTTAAGTTTTTCTTGTAAGTTGTTATCTCAATAACTACTGAAGGGTTTGTGCCTTTTTCGGGACAATTTTATGCATTCATAATAATAAAGCAGTGATTTACTTGATAAAACATCTTAATAACAAGCCTTTGTACCTTTTCTGTCAAATTTATTTATTCATAGGTAATTAGTATTATTATACTCAATAAAACACCCTTGTGACATTACCTTCCGAATAGTCAAGCCAATACTGTATAATTAGACTCTCTCTTAGGCCTTTAACATGAATTTATAAAAAAAAATTAGCCCTTTTGTGAACTTAAAAAATTAAACAATATAAAGGCTCTTTTACTATCAAGCACTTAGAATAGTCGAGCGTGCTGTCCTACAGACAGCTCTTGTTTTTGTATGCAAGTACTGTTATTGTACATTGGTTTTTCTATTTTTGTTTATATTTTGATATGTATTTTTTTGTTGTCACAGATAGTAGGATCCGATGGTATTGGCCATGCAAGTGAACACTCAACTGTTGATCCCAAGAACAAAACCATGGAATTAAAAACACGCAATGTATGTTGTATTGTGATTTTCAATATTTTCCTTTATTTTGCTTATTTTTTTGTCTTAGTCATTTTTAGTGACTGGTCCATAAAGTTGTATTTATTATACCCCCAAAAACGAAGTTTGGGGGGGTATATAGGAGTCACCCGGTGGTCGGTTGGTCTGTCGGTCCAGACGTCCGTTGCATTTTCCTTGTTCGGAGCATAACTTGAAGACTAATAGTTGGAATTCAATATAAGGCCAAAATAAAAAATATGTCTGGTTCAGGGAACCCAACCGACCCTATTTTTTTACTTCCGACCCTAAACTTTTTTTTTTGATTTTCGGTACGAAAATTACAAATGTGAAAATTTTGTTTTACGATGCCTGTTCAAATAGCCGATGAGTAACAATCTTAAAATAATCAAAAAATATTTAATCTTATATGATCAAAATCAACAACAAGTAGAATTGTGAATGTTTCTGCAGGAAACAGACAAATTTTCAATTGTCACATATTTTCGCGATGCCGCTTTTTTATAATTAAAAAAATCGTAACCAAAAGGGAGATATGTTTTGTTAAAATGTGTGTAATAACACTTAAAATATAGTTAAGAAATTAAATTAACTATTAGTTGAGATGGAGCCATTACCAGTATGTGTTTGTAACATACAATGAATATTTTCTTTTTTAAGGTAGGGGGGTGTAAGGTCTGATGATGTATGTTTTTTAAATTATATTTCAAATATTTTCAATCACTTTTATTGTACAGTGTTTTCCATTTGGGACATATTACCATTTTCCTGAATAAGCTTTTTCTCTGTTCAAACTCTGACTCCCCAACCCCTTACTCTGCTATACATCATATTTGTCAACTGCAGATAAGTGCAGCAAAGATGGCTTAACATATTCAATGTGATCTGGAACTCCTACTTTTTTGTACTTGGGAGTCCCAAGACTCCTTCTTTGTAAGAACCCTGCAACTGTTGGTACCAGTTGCACATATAGACTTGCAGAAGACCATCTGAAGACCATTTGAATATGTTTAATATTAAAATTATATATACAGTAGCTGTGTTATTTTGGTCCCCGGAATAGTGCATGTCAGATGTTCTAAGCTTATAATACAGCATTATCATTAACTTGTTACAGAGTTGACCCTTGATCTTTTAATTGTCAGACCTGTCAGATGCAGGTTAGCATAGTACAACGGGTGATTCAAAGGGAAAGGGTACATAATAAGCAGAATAGAAAGCAAATTAGTATGAATACAGGTGCTACATGGTTAAATGACTACATACAAGAAATAAACAACACAATATCACATGCTGATAGTTTATTACAAAATGGTGTTTGCATTGATTGATTACAATCTTTGTTTAAGTATGTTAAGCAAGCAACACATCTATATATGGAAAATAAGACATTCTCTCAACCCAAAAAAAAAAAAAAAAAAAAATCCCTACCCTCCTAATTTTTTGGACCAATGTTTCCTGAACCAGACATATTTTTTTATTTGGCCTAACTACATACAATGGTCAATCACATTGAGAGGAAGTGCAGTGCACAAGAACCATAACTCTATCTTGACTTATTACAGAGTTATTGCCCTTTGTTACTTTTCCTTGTCTGAGGCATAACTTGAAAACTACAAGTGGAATTCAAAACAACTTCATACAATAATTGTCAAACACAATAAGTGGAAGTGCAGTGCACAAGAACCATAACTCTATCTAAAGTAATTACAGAGTTATTGCCCTTTGTTGCTTTTCCATTGCTTTTTTTTGTCCGGACCATAACTTGAAGACTAATGATTTGAATTCAATATAACTACATACAATGGTCAAGCACATTGAGAGGAAGTGCAGTGCACAAGAACCATAACTCCATCTTGACTAATTACAGAGTTATTGCCCTTTGTTACTTTTCCTTGTCCGGGGCATAACTTGAAAACTACTGGTTGGAATTCAAAACAACTTCATACAATTGTCAAACACAATAAGGGGAAGTGCAGTGCACAAGAACCATAACTCTATCTAAAGTAATTACAGAGTTATTGCCCTGTGTTGCTTTTCCATTGCTTTTTTTTTGTCCGGACCATAACTTGAAGACTAATAGTTTGAATTCAATATGACTCCATACAATGGTCAAGCACATTGAGAGGAAGTGCACTGCATAAGAACCATAACTCTATCTTGACTTATTACAGAGTTATTGCCCTTTGTTACTTTTCCTTGTCCGGGGCATAACTTGAAAACTACTGGTTGGAATTTAAAACAACTTCATACAATTGTCAAACACAATAAGGGGAAATGCAGCGCACAAGAACCATAACTCTATCTAAAGTAATTACAGAGCTATTGCCCTTTGTTACTTTTCCATTGCCTTTTTTGTCCGGACCATAACTTGAAGACTAATGATTGGAATTCAATATAACTTCATACAATGGTCAAGCACATTGAGAGAAAGTGCAGTGCACAAGAACCATAACTCCATCTTGACTAATTATAGAGTTATTGCCCTTTGTTACTTTTCCTTGTCCAGAGCATAACTTGAAAACTACTGTTTGGAATTCAATACAACTTCATACAGTTGTCAAGGACATTAAAAGGAAGTGCAGTGCACCAGAGCCATAACTCCATTTTGACAAAATACAGAGTTACTGCCCTTTGATACTTTTCCTTGTCAGGAGCATAACTTAAAACATACTGGTTGAATTCAAAACAACTTCATACAATGGTCAAGCACAATAAGAGGAAGTGCAGTGCACAAGAACTATAACTCTATCTTCAGTATTTATAGAGTTATTGCCCTTTGTTCCTTTTCTTTGTCTTTCTGGACTTATTACAGAGTAATTCAATTAAACTTCATCAATGGCCAACACATTGAAAGGAAATGCAACATATAAGAACCACAACTATCTTTAATTGCCCACAACCATATCTCTATATTTCAATTCTTTTACAAGGTATTCTGTTACTAGTAACATCCTCATTTCCGAAGCAGTCTTGTGGGGGTATTAATCACATTTAGTGATAGTTCTAGTTTGAAAAAGCTTTTTCTTCATCTCTCATGGGTTCAAACAGATTGAAAATAAGTTTTTACTGTAATTGTAAATTCATGGAATCTTAATAGTTAATAAAGGGGATTTTAACATGGAAAATTCATTAAATTCCTAAAAAATTGTGGAAAGTGGAACTATGTCCTAGAAGAAAAGATCTAAACATCTTAAATAACAGACAAGAATGTTTTGCAAGGCTATGAACAATTCTGTATCATTCTGTTTCGGTCAAATATGCTTTAAACGAATCACATTTGGGTTCTTTATTATTGCTCAATTTCAGAATACATCTTACTTTCAAAACTTAAGTATTGCACTGTTTCCTATATGGAATTTTTTTGTTTTAAGCAATTTGCATAAACCCTTGGCATTAGAATTTAAATTGAAAATAAATGGTTGTTAAGCGTGTAATTGTGTTTCATTTCCTGAAAGTTAAATTTTTACTTTCTATGCCCTAACATCAGTAGCTCAGTAGATGTTTTGTTTTCCTGCCTGTAAGTCTTACTATTGAAAGTTTGACCACAGGAACTTGAAATTCTATCACTTTTAACAATAATATGCAAAATATACCCCCTATATACTATAAAAAAACACAAGGAATGAAACGCCTTTTCCCCACCCGAACATAATTTACGCCGAACAAATCAACAAAACAACGGATCAAAATAATCTATCTGGCCATTTCGATAAACAATACATAAATGCATCAAATACCACCGATAACTTTTTTAATTTCGTAGCTATATATGAATAATTCAACATTTTCTGATTATTTCCCACGATCTGAGTTTGTCGCCGACTCCATTTCGTGACGTCACTGGATGTTGATTCGAGGAGAATAATATTTATTAAAATTATTTTTAACAAGTTCCAAAAATAACAAGTTTGCAAGTAAAATACTGTCAAACTAGAACAAATGACTGATTTATTTCTTACGACAGGGCTGAATTTATTTGCTGGGCCATATCAAATAGAGTACTCAATTTTTTTTTAAAAACGAAAGTACTATTTCAAAGATTTACCGTTCTTGTTTGGGGTTTCCCTTTCAAATGTATTTATAAAAGTAATTTGTTAAAAAGGTTTTTACATGAAGATGTTTAAAATCTATTTTACATAGAATAATTTGCAATAAAAGTTTTATACATACCTGTTATTTTTTGGAACTTATTAAAAATAATTTTAAATAAATATTATTCTCCTCGATTCAAAATCCAGTGACGTCACAGAATGGAGTCGGCGACAAACTCAGATCGCAGGAAATAATCAGAAAATGTTGAATTATTCCTACACAGCTACGCGATTTTAAAAAGTTATCGGTGGTATTTGATGCATTTATGTATTGTTTATCGAAATGGCCAGATAGAATAATTTGATCCGTTGATTTGTTCGGCGAAAATTATGTTCGGGTGGGGAAAAGGCGTTTCATTCCTTGTGTTTTTTTTATAGTATATAGGGGGTATATTTGGATATTATAATTAATATTGGTTATTTGATAGAATTTCAAGTTCCTGTGGTTTGACAATAATATTTTCATAATTCAGCATTCTTCATTAAATTCTTATTGAGAGTAAAACGAGAATGGAAACTGAGCTTTCATTTAAATCTCAGAGATTTATTTAATTTTTCTATATGAATTATTTATATTACATAATAACACATGTATTGATTTGAAGGCGAAATGCCTTTGGTCAACATCACTAAGCAGGCCAGAAAAAGGTATGTTGAACTCATCCAAAGTAAATGATAACATGATATTATTCTTTCTTGATTTTCAAAGTTCACCTGTTTCATTTCAGTTGACATTTTGCAATATGATAACAATAGATGAAACACTTGTGTACTCTCCCCATCCAGAAGACAAGAATAAGTAAGTTCACTTAAATGATGACTCTAATATATCTTAATTACCTAGGTAAAAAAGACATTTTTATTCAGCAGCAATAAATTCCAAAGAATCATATTTGATATTTTGACTTGTATATTTGTAAATATAGTTTAGCCAAGGTTTATAACTGATATGATAACAAAACTAAACAAAGAAACTAAATTTGTTTATAACTGCTACTGAAAAAAAATAAAAGAATTTTTTACAGTTTGTAAAGATATGTTAGCTAAGTCAGTAAAAAGTATTGATTTCAGTTTACTTCAGGTATTAGGCTCTGTGTTATTTGATTTTAGCTTAACTTTTTATGTGGGCACTGACCAGGCCTTCTTTTCCTAATAGATATAGTTACTTCCAGTAAACAAAGGCATTCCCAATGCCAAAATACATTATTTTTCTTTCCTGATTGAGAAACATAAATTTAAGGAGGCCTTGATTTTGAGGTTTGTGTTGTCAGGGGACATTTGTGTACACATTTTCTTTCCTTAGAACTAAAGAGCTAAGATGAAATGAGATCTTTTGTCACCAGTCTAAACTTGTATCATTCTTTCTTACCTAGGATGAATCAAATTTTTGAAGTCATATATCAAATAGTGTGCATTTCAGTATGATGAGACATTTCAGTAAAGCTGATAGCAGTATCATATATGATTTTGACATTTCCTTAGGGTGTTAATCATATATTAACAATTTCAGGACTTGCTTAAAGCAGGAAGCTGTGATCAATGTTAAAGGTATCCCATTTGGCAGCTACATTGAATCATTTGTTTGTGACAATATATCAAAGAATGCATCCAAGGTGAGTACAATAGATTGATAGGTATTTATTTTTAACAATGCTTTTTTTTTCACTTTAAAGCAGCACTCATCCAGATTAATGCTTATTTTCATGAAAATTTTGAAAATGTATTTAACAGTATAATATTGTATAGTAACCAAAATGAAGCAACTAACACATTATCAATGGCACTTCTTACCCACGTAAATAACAAAAAGAGGTAAAAATATGCAAAAATCGCTCTACTGCGTTGGTGCGTTGGTAACGCAGTAGAAATATAGTTTGAAATGATGAAAAATTAGCAATTAGACACTTGTAATATGCAATATTTTACTTGAATCTTGATTCTTTCTACTTTTCCTAAAATCTTAGTACATGTTTTTCAAGTTTCATTTTATTGAAATATTTTGGCTCATCTGGAGGCATGCTGCTTTAAAGGGAATGATGGAAGGGCCATTGGTAGGGGGGAAATGTGTCGTGGAGGGGGGAAAGGGAAATCTAGAAACAGATACAATACTATGTTTTATGTTAATTGTGATGCAATACAATACATTTTCCAAACTACAATGTCCCTCTTGTCCCACCCATGAACACATTTTTTTTACTTCTGTACAAAATTCTGTTTCAAAAATAGGGGGAAAAGATATAAAAAGTATATAGGGGGAAAATATATATACTTTTTGAAGAGGGGATTTTTTTCCTCAATTGGCACTTAAAATACTGTTTTAGAGTCCCAAAGGTTGAAAATATTACAACGATGAATTTAGGGACCTTAAACTGAAAAATATGCTAAAGTTAATGAAACTATTATCAAAATTTAATTGAAAATTGATATTTAGTATGATTCTAAGCCAAATTAAGTTATAAGTGTAATAACCTTTCATTTTTAGACAATTTTGCGCCATAAAAATTATTATTCTGATCTAAAGAAAGCTACTCTGGTACATATATTAAGGAAACACAAGTTATGTGTTAAATATATAACAGACAAGTTCTGGATTATGTGTGACCACCTCTGTGGTCGAGGGGTTAGAGTCAATGACTTCGAACTTCCAGTTACCTCTCTGGCGTAGGTTCAATCCCCGGGAGATGCTATGGTAGTTTAGCGCAGAGGAAGGTAGTCTAGTACTGGTGTAACTTTCCAGGAACGATGGTTAGGAAACTACCCGCCTATATGACTGAAATACTGTTGGGAAAAGGCGTAAAATGAAACAATCAAAAACTGGATTATGTGCAGGAACGTTAACATTTCAAGTGATATACATTTTAGGGACGAGAAGCGATGGACCATGTTATAAATGTTATACAGATGGAAACCAGAGATTTACAATTAAGAGCTCAACAAGCCATGGAAACTATCAACCTTAATTTCGAGGCCATGGAATCGAACAATCTCAGTTTCGAAGTTTGACGAGAAAACAATCTAGGGTCTTCCAATTATAAATCATGGTTTCATCATCTGCTTGAGATTAACCAAGATCTGATCCTGAAAAAACTTGATTTTTCAAATCTTGTTAATGTTTGAAATCATCATCTAAAGACTGTGCCTCTAAGTTGACAATGAATTGTTTATCATCTTAAAACCCATATGCGGACCATAAAGAATCTGTTATGTGTAAAGTTACAAGTTTCTTAGTGCTTTTTATAAGATAGCTTCAAAATGGACACATATCAACAGCTGATTAATGCTGATAGATATATTAAATCTTTATACTAATCAAAGTATATGTACTAGTGCTTATTGTCACTTATTTCATCAGATACTTAAATAACAAAGAACTTTAATGGTTAAGAATAACATAACCAAATACTTTTACAACAAGCTAAATATTGAAATTTGAAAAATCATGATTACGAAAGAATTGATTTTTTTACAAAATATATTTTTTTGTCTATAAGTAGGAAACATGGTTATTTTAGTAAAATTTTAAGTATTTCTAAAAGGTTGACTGCATCATTTACAAATATTTATGTTTTTGGATGTCCAAAAAACTGTAATAAATATTGATTTCTTTGGAACAAACATTCTTGTG